GGTGCGGGCTGGGTGGCGGAGGAGAGGGTGGAGAAGGGCTGGGGGGGAGTGGCGAGGGTGGGGGCGGGGGGTCGGGCGAAGGTGGTTTGGGGGAGGGCGGCTGAGGCGATGGCGGCTTTGGTCTGCAACGTGTGAAACAGGTCGGGCATGGCAGGCTGGTGACGGGCAGAAGTGTAGGGTCGTCCTGGGTGCCGACACACTTCGAGCACAACTGGGTGGCGGCTACACCCAGGTCCGCTCAGCCAGGCCTCACATGGCTGGCAGCCGACCAGTAGGTGCCCGATGGGAGTATACAGGTCTGCACAGAGGCAGACTGACAGCTCTGCAAGCATGCGGTGCTCCCCCCGCACTGCTTGCCTGGGCGGCGGACGCGGAGATGGAGGGGGCCGGGGGGAAGGTGGCCGCGGGCTTGGCGGCGGCTTCGGGGGCCGGGGGCTTGGGGGTGGACGCGGGGGTCGAGGAGAAGGCGGCTTCGGCCTGGGCGGTGGCTTTGGCGGCCGCGGCGGAGGCGGCTTCGGCCTGGGCGGTGGCTTTGGCGGGCGCGGGGAAGGCGGCTTTGGCCTTGGCGGCGGCTTTGGCCTTGGCGGCGGCTTTGGCCTGCGACCAGGAACCATCTTACAAGCACGAAATAAACAAGATCCGCTCTTTGTGCCTATACTTGGAAAACAGGAGTGCTGCCTGCCCTGCAGACAGTCGCAGGTGTCTTGCAGCAGCGCCAAGCTCGAGCAGGAGCATGCGCAGAAGCAGGCAGACAACTCCGGGAACACGGTGCTCTTGCATTCCTTGCCTGGGCGGCGGCTTGGGGCGTGGCGGCGGTCGAGGCGAAGGCGGCCGCGGCCGTGGAGGCGGTTTGGGACGCGGCGGTCGTGGTCTTGGTGGCCTGCATGTCATCCAACAAGAAAGCACGATTTCTTCGCTGATGCCCTACCAACGTCACGTGCAACAGAGCAGTATGCACCCGCCGCCTCACGTTGGTGCGGCATCCACCACCGTCGGCATGCCTGCGGCAAGTGCGCAGGCACACAGGGCAGTGCATCCACGTGTCAGCCATTCAGCATCCGACATTGTGGTACAGCATAGTGCGCTGTGAAAAGGGGTGACCGGCAAGGGATAGCTGCATGTGCCTTGCCGCCGCTGTGAATCCCGTGCAGGCAGTACTGCAAGCTCCCCCTCCTGGTGAGCTGCCTCACCAATACCACCACTCAGCAGCACGAGGGCACTAAGAAGGAGCGGCAAGCGAGCGGTACTGACGCCGCCGCCGCTGCCGCCATGATGGCGGCCCCACTGGCCTCGGAGGCAATCGGACGTCCTCATGACACACGCTCTCGGCTTCACAGCCAGGGATGAGGCGTGTGCTGCAACGAGGAAACGCGACTGCAGAGCGGGTTGAGCGTAACGGCGCGGGTTTGTTATCACGCAGCTCTTGCTCGAGGGACACAAGCAAAAAGCCGGGTTTCCAGCTGGGTGGGTCGTGGGCCGCGGATGGCGAGAGCACAGCAGGCAGCAGGCAGCTCACAGATTCGTCCGAAACGAGTTTTTGCAGCTGCCGATCGTTACACAAGATGCAGAGCCCTCAGGGAGCTGAGCGAGCCCACTGTTCAAATATGTAATGGCAGCTTCCCCCCTGCCCCCTAGTCATGTTTCAGGCACCCCTGTCTGCTCTGCAGCTGCTGCTGGCCCTCGAACAGCCGCCAACTTCAGCAGCCGCTCCTCCACCGCCGGCTCCTTGGCCCGCTGCAGCAGCGGCACGTGCTTGGAGCAGGCTGTAGCCGCCCCCGCCCCACCGCGCTGCCGCTTGCCGCCACCGTTGGTGCCATCGTGCTGCAAGTGGTCGCTCGCCAGCCGCTGCTGGATGGTGTGCAGCATGCCGGCGCGGATGAGGTGGCTGCAGCAGCGGCGAGAGAGCGAGGGGGGACAACAGGTTGGGTGTGCCCGTGTGGTGGCACCACAGCATAGCAGCGGTGGCAATGCCAGCCCCAAGGAGGGACCAGCTCCTGCCCATCTGCAGGCAGCCACCCATCAACCTACCTTGTGAGCACACCCTCCAGCTGCCCGCGCACAATGTCCTGGTTCTGGCGGGAGCGCTGGAAGCGCAGCCCGCCATAGGCGCAGCTGTACAGCAGCAAAGGCTCCTCTGCAAGCGGTAGCGCATCATGCACCCGATGGGGCGACGTGAGGGCACGGCGGCAGTGGTGCTGGCAAGCTGTCGCAGAGGAGCAGGCCGCGGGGTTCGCTGCCATGGTGCAGGCTGCCCGCAGCAGCCTGCAGCAGCGCAGGCGGCCACCCACCCAGCCCCACCCCTGCGCCCACCTGAGGCCAGCGTGTACTGCGGCTTGCGGGGCACCTGCTGGGGGTCCAGCAGCGTGGCCACAATGCCAGGGGGCTCCTCGCCGCGCCCCACCATCAGCAGCACCGCCGCCATGCAGCGCACCTGCGTGGCGGGGTGGGGCAGCGGGGTGGGCGCACGGCGTGACGTGCCTGTGTCGATGCAGCCGCACCGCTGAGGCACACCCATTTCCTTGCATGCCTCCCCCGCCCACCCCGGGCAGCAGTGTCACCAGCCAGGCTGCCAGGCGCACAGCCCGCCCCGCGCCCGCACCTGGTGCCACAGGAAGGCGGTGCCGCGGATGTGCAGCTGCAGCAGGCGGCGGCCGCCCCAGGCGCAGGCGGGCAGCTCCTCCACACGGCAGTCCAGCACGCGGCGGCGGAAGTTGGTCACTTGGGCCACATCAACCTGCTCGGATGGAGAACACGGAGCGGAGTGGACGAAGGGGGCCACTGGAGGGTCAGGCGGGCAGCTGGGTGTAGTCTGCCTGCTCGGCACCTGCTGGGTCAGCTCCCCGGGCTGGGAAACTGGCCAGGCGGCGGGGCTGCCAAGCGACCCTGTGAGGCCTTGCCTGCACAGCAGGCAATCACGCTGTGCTGTCCTATGCTGGGTAGCAGCACTCGCACTGAGCTGTGCCGCATGACTGTGATGTGCTCATGCTGTGCCCAACAAGGCGCACCTTGCAGAAGTTGCGGAAGTCGTGCTCCCCAAGGAAGAAAGCAGCAGCCTCCTGCATCCGCCCCACATCCAGCGCCTCGCCCAGCGGGGCTCCCGTGAGGGGGGCCGCGCTGCCGTGCCCCACGGCCGGCTTGCCGCCGCCTGGCGCTGCCTCTGCAGCCCCCTGCTTCCCTGCTGCTGCTGCTGCTGCTGCTGCTCCTTGCCCTGCTCCTGCTGCTGCTGTTGCTGCTGCCGCGCTTCCAGGGTCATCCTCACTTGCCGCCTGCAGCATGCCCCCTGGCGGGGTGGGGGGGCGGTACGCGATGAGGTACTTGTACTCGCGATACTGTGCAGAGAACCTGCATGGAAGCTCAGCAGCAGCAGACAGGCACATGTCAATTGAGCGGCATCGCAGGTACCAGGAGCAGCAGCTGGGGTTGTTCACAGGCTGACCTCGCCCACCCCATGCAGCCGGGCACAGCATGCTGGATGGGCGGCAACCATGCGCTCCTCCCCTTCGCCCCAGTGTCAGCAGTGCTGGCGCGGCTGTCAGGCCTGCAGCAGGGCGCTGACCTGGCGCTGAAATCGTCGGGCACATCGGCCCAGCCCAGCACTCGGATGTCCTGCGGCAGCACTCGGTTGAGCAGCGAGGGATAGTCCAGCTCGACATCCGCCTCAGGCTGCACCTCGCCGGTCCGCGCCGCAGAGCGCAGCAGCAAAGCCACCACTTGGCCCAGCGCTGCAACGAGGCATGGGAAGGGAGGCGGTCTGGGAAGAGGGAGGTGGAGGGAGGAGCGGGGGGGCGGGAGCAAGACGCACAAACATTCATGCCGACCCGCCGCTCACAGCGCAGCGTCACAGGCACGCTGCAAACTGTTTCACAGGTCCTGCTTGGTCAACAACCCGGCGCACTGCGCTGGCTGCCTTACCCGACACGCCCTTGTCTGTGCGCCCACCCCGCGAGTAGCGCAGCTCCTGCCAGCTGGCCTCGGCAGGCACCAGGCGCGTGGTGCGCAGCGCCGCAAACAGGTGGCCCTGCAGGCACAGGCGTCCCCGCAGCAGGCAGCTGGTGCCAGCAGCCTGCCCCACATCCAGCCAGGCGCAACCAAGCCAGCCCACAGTAAGGCCAGCCACCTGCCACGGCTGCAGCCCCCACCTCTATCGTCTGCTCGGTGTGCTCCTGCCGTGCAAAGCCGCCATAGGCGTGGCCGAGGTACAGCAGCTCCAGGGCCACGTACCGCTGCTGGTATGCACTAAAGTCCAGGTCGCGCCCTGCGGGTGCAGCCGTGTGGGGCGGTGTCTTGAGGCCGGTGCAAACAGCCGAAAGCGGGCGGCTGCCGGCTGTGGCAGCGGCGGCTGTGCCTCCCAACATGCTATGTTTGCAACCAGTTCTACCCCATAGCAATGTGCTGTTCAGCAGCACCATTCCCAGCATCAGATCTGCACAACACCACGCATCAAGTGGAGGAACCGGCAGCGCCGCCTCCCACCCGCCGACGCACCTCTGCCGCGCAGCTCCTTGCGCCGCCTCTTGCCGTCCGGCTCTTCGTATGGCTTCACTTGCTGCTGCCGCGCCTGTCCTAGCGAGTCCGCCACCTCGCGCAGCCTGCCCGCAAGCACTGCCGCATGCTGGGGGCTGTAGCGCCCTCGGCCGGGGAAGAGGCAGGCGTAAAGCTGCTCCTCGACGCTGCTGACCGACTCCATAGTCGATGGTGTGCGCTGGGTGGCGGCTAGGGCTAGTCTCTTCAGTGCTCTCAATATGGACATTCGACAGTTGCGCTTGCCGTCTACTGAGAACCCCTCTACGCTTAATCGTACTGCCAAAAGACACTACGACGCAGCGCAGCGTCGGGGCAATCGATTTTCCAGTGCTAAATGCAACACCTTCTTCCACGGCGGCGGGCAGTGGCAGGCGGCAGGGGCGAGGCCATTGACAGCCTCACAAGCCAGACACAGCAGTGCAAAGAAGCAGGGTACGCAAGACCATGTGAGAAGAATGCGATTGGGTGCTGTCCGGTGGCTGGCCGCCACCTCACGCAGGCGTGCCGTGCATGCGGAAGCGGTACAGGCAGGTGTAACCCGGGTGGCCATTGTTGGCGGCGAAGGCCAGCCTCACGTGATCCACCTCCACCTGCCGCCACTCCGGGCCCAGCTGGAAGGTCTGCACCGGGTGCCTGCTGTGCGCATCATAGCTGAAGCTGCCCAGTGGCACGCCCAGCGCCTCGGCTCCTTCCGCGCTGCTGTTGGCGGCGGGGCCGGGGTGCGGCGGCGGAGGCCCCAGGAAGCCGGTGAGGACGAGGTTGCGCGGCGCGCTGCGGATGTCAAAGGCGATGGCGGCTGGGATGTGCTCGTATGTGAAGGCGGTCGGGTGGATGCGTCGCGTCAGGCGCACATCCACCCATCCGGCGGCCCCAACCAGCGGCAGGCAGAGGCCGGGCTGCGAGATGGGCGCCAGCAGCAGCTGCAGGTACCCGCGGCGCAAGCAGGGGGGCCGAGGCAGCCAGACAGGTGTGGCAGGCGTCAGAGAAACCAGGTGTCAGGCCTGGCGAAGCCTGTTGCAGCAGCACTCCCATCTGGGAGCACATGCAAAGCTTCCGATGGGCAGGAGCTGTGCCTGCCTCGGAGCGGGCTGCCTCACCTTGCTGGCCTGAGGGTGCACGACACCGCTGTGCAGGCGGGGCAGGGTGGCCAGGAGCGAGGCGGAGGAGGGCAGGTGGGCGGGCGAGTGCGCCACCACCTCGGCGCCTCCAGCCGCCAAGGCATAGTCGGGCAGGCCTGTGCGGTCGGCAGCAAACAGCTCCAGAGCCTCAGACACCTCCTCCCGCACCACCTGCTGCAGCAGCTGGCGGCCTGCAGCACCCGCCGGCTCGCAAGCTGCAGGGGCAGCGTCTGCCGCGGCGGCAGCGGCGGTGGCAGAGGAGGCAGCTGCCAGGCGCAGCTGCGCCAGCTCAGCCTGCACATGCGCCAGCTCAGCCTCCAGACTGGCACTGGTGCCAGCCTGGGTGCTGCACATCTGCCCAAGTGCCTCCAGGGCGCTGCCAGAGGCGCTGATGCGAGCATCCAGCTGCTGCATCGCCGCAGCCAGCTGCGCCAGCTCCCCCTGCAGCTGGCTCCTGGCTGCTTCGGCGCCCTGCCGGTGGTTGCTGAGCTGGCGCTGCAGCGAGGCCAGCTGCCTTTGGCTGGTGCGTGCCTGGCGCGCCGCCAGCCCCAGGCCCGCCAGCAGCAGCAGCGTCAGCAGGGCCGCGGCCACCAGCCTCGACCCGTGGATGCCAGCAGGCAGGCCGTGGGGCGCAAGCGCCTGCAGGCGGCGGCGCAAAGCCACAACGCCTCGGTGCGCCATGCCGTGCCAGCCGCCTGGCGCCGCCTCCTCGCTCTCCTCCCCACCGTCCGCTTCGCCCTGCTCCTCGCCCATGCCCATCCCCGAGCGGTGCTGCCTGTTTGTGGGCTCGGCAGGTGGCGCCGCCTCGGTTTCCGGCTCACCGCGCTGCAGCAGCTGCTGCTGCTCCACCTCATCAGCAGGCTCCTGCACACATGGGGCATGCGGCGCAGGGTTGTTGACAAGTATGCTGCGGTCAGATGACGGCATGCCCCGCGCCCTCCTCGGGCACAGATGCCCTGGCTGCAAGGGCCAAAGCGCCGCACCTCCGTCTTGGAGCCTGCCCCAAGCTGGCTGAGCTGCTTCAGCGACCTGGTGACCCGCTGCGACAACGAGGGCTTGGGCTGCACCGCATCCCCCGCCTCGGTTGCCTCGGTGGCGGTGGCGTCGGTGGCTGTCGGCCGGCCACTGCCGGCTGCGGGTGCGGCGGCAACCGCTGCAGCAGCGGCTGCATCCTGCTTCCTGGGCTGCCTCTTGCGGCCCTTGGGCTTGGCTGGGGCGTCCATTCCAGCAGCAGCAGCTCAAGGCAGCCTTGGCTCCGAGGACTGCGGGGGGTCTCCGATGCCGCTGTGATGGGCTCGTGCCGTCTTTGCCTGGGGTCAAGGCTGCCCTCTGATCGATTCGCTATCGTCTGTCCCGTGGATGCGAGGGGCTGATGGCGAGCTTCTGTCCAGGTTGTCAGGGCGCCGGCCCCGACGCTCTCAAACGGTGCTATTGAAGAGACCTGCGGGACTGCATCACGATGGCGAAGGGATCCCTGCCACAGGGCGGGCGGCCGCCACCTCATCGCCGCCCCCGCCGAGCGCTCACTGCAATTCCGCCATCCTGAATCCAGTCTCAAGCCATGTGTTACCTCCCTCGCAGAGCTCCTGTTCACTGTAATATTTATCTGTGGCGGATGCACCAGTGCGCAAGAACGGAAATGAAACAAGATCCTGTGCGCGAGGCCATCGACGGCACAGTTTCAGCTAGCTGTGATCAGCCGGCGCTAATGCCATAAATGATAAACTTCCACTGTTCCAGGCTTGCACAGCCAGGCTGTCGTTGTGTTTTGTCAAGCGCATGAACATCAGTGACGCAAGTGACGCAGCCCTCTCACAAGCACAGCTCCGCCCGCTGGCCAGAATGAGACCCCTACCACGCAGCTACCAATGTATGAACATGGAGAAGGAGAGTGAACTACACATGCCCACTAATCCAGCAGCACGCGCCTTCACAACTTGTGTACGGCAACGACGAGCAGCGGGGCGGGACGCCGCCCTTCAATCAATCCAGCCCCGTCCCACACGCAGCTGACCGTCTCTCGGTCTCTTGCCAACATGTTTCAGGCTCCCTGTGCGTGGTCTGCCACAAGAGGCCACTGTTCGGGGAGCGAGTCCAAGTGGGGGCTCAGGCTTTCCACGGCGGCAGGAGGCAGCCGCCTCCAGGCACTCACAGAATAAATTAAAGGGAACCCCCGTTTCCCTGGAAGACATTTCCCTGGGTCGACGTGGCCCCGACGGACAGCGTGTTCCGCCGTGGCGGCCACAAATATAGCTCGATCCCTTCCCACAGCCCCCAGCACATCACCATGAGCGACTCCACGCCCGCCCCTGACCAGGAGGCCAGCCCTCCCCAGCCCCAGGGCGCCGTGGACCCCAAACCAGCTTCCGTTTCCCCTAAACCCCAGCCAGGGGGCGCTAATGGTGGACCGGCCCAGCAAGCGGGGGTTCCCGGGCGCTATGCCCTTCCGAATGGCCTATTCGTTGAGTGCGCCCCAACTCATCCCCGCTTGGTGGCCACCCCGGCCCCGCTGGAAGGCCCTCTGACCGCGCCAGACCCACACCCTGCCCTGCAGCCCTTATTGAACCCCCGCCTGAGGCCATTCGGAGTCATGGGCGGCTTCCCGCTGCCCGGCGGCGAAGGAGAGGGCAAGGCGGAAGGCCAGGGCAGCGGCGAGGTGAGGCAGGGAGGCCTGGTCAGGGCCGAACCGGGTCCCAATTCGCCCCGGTCCTAGGGATGGCGCGCCGGTCTCCCGGCCAGCTCAGCCCGCCACCTCCTGCCCCTCCGCCCGCCCTTTTACCTACCCCTGCGCCCCTCTTGCCCCCACCTGCCCCGCCGCAGGATGAAACGGAGGAGGAGGAGGAGGAGGAGGACGATGGGGACAGCAGCGGCAAGGAGGGTGGGCGGCCCAAGCGGAAACGTGCAGCCCGCGCGTCGGCCAAGAAGAAGGCCGCCACCGGCGATGGCGTGGTGAAGAGCAACAGCAATGCGGCGCTGGCGATGTTGGCGGGCGCGGCGGCCACCAAACCGCCCAACCCTGCGGCCGCGGCGGCGGCTGCCGCCGCCTTGCAGCAAAACCTGGGGGAGCTTTGGGGCACACTCAATGGCGCTGGCGCCGGCGGCATGCCCTCCACCTCTGGCATGGACATGTCCAAGCTGACCAGCGAGCAGCAGCAGATGCTGGCCAATGCCTCGTTTGAGGTGGGTGGTGCACAGGGAGGTGGGGGGGGCGCGGCCGCCGCCGCCACGTCAGCCGCCAGCCTGGCCCGCCCGCCAGCTTGGCGGTGTATGCGGGCTGGGCTGTGCATTTGCGCGCCATTTGTTGCATCTTGTGCTGCTGGGCACGGCCAGGAGTTCCGCTGGAGCGGCCTGTAGGGGGCTCCAGCTTGCCCCGCCCCGCACGCCTTCTGCTGCGGCTGCCCGCCCCTCACTCGTGCTGCACACTCCTGCTCTTGAGCTCTGCACTAACACCCCCCACCCCCCACCCATGTCCTGCCCACCCCGCAGGGCATCACCGACGAGCGAGAGATGAAGCGCATGCGGCGCAAGCAGAGCAACCGCGAGTCGGCGCGGCGGTCCCGCCTGCGCAAGCAGGCCGAGTGCGAGCAGCTGTCGCGGCAGGTCAAGGACCTGGCCTCAGGTGGGTGGGCGAACGTGGGGGCAGGAGCGGTGCAGGAGCGGGGCAACCAGCTGCTGCCCCTGGCTGCGCCCCCCTCCCTCTCCCTGTCTGCACATTCGTTCAGGTCCCTTTGCCTGAGGTCGCCCACCTCGAGCCCCTGCCCCGCTCCGCCCCGCCCCGCACCCTGCTTGCGCAGAGAACTCCCGCCTCAAGGAGGAGAAGATGCAGCTGCTGGCGCAGATCGAGATCCTGAACGCCAAGCTCTCCATGAGCGCCTTCCCCGGGCTGCACGCGATGGGAGGGGTGAGCGGGCGTGGCGGCGCGGCTGTGCCCCCTTGCTGCGCACGGTTTCCATGCACCCCTGCTGCTTCCGCCGAGCCAGCCTTGTGCACGCGTGCCTGGCCCCGGTCGGCGCCACCTGCTGACGGCACCCCGGCTCCGCCGTGTTTGTGTGCTGCAGGGCGACATGACCAAGCAGACAGCCGAGATTCAGGCAATGGCGGTGGCCATGGCGCAGACCATGCAAGGCAACGGCGGCGTGATGATGGGCACCGGCCTGGGCATCCCCACGCTGGACGCAAAGGCGATGGAGGGCGGCGACGAGGTGGCAGCAGTGCCCGCAGCCATGGAGGGCGCCGGCGAGCAGCAGGAGCAGCCGGAGCAGGTGTCGCAGTGAGGGCCGGCCGCCCGCTGACCGCCGCGGCTGCGCAGATGCCGCGCCGACGCCACCATCTCCTCGGCTCAATTGCTTGCACTTTTTGCCTGGCGGGGCGCTGATGACTGCGGCGCACCCAGCCGCTCCTCTTGCGTCCCGCACCACAGCACCCCGCCGTCCGGTGCCCATTGACCACTGCACGCCAAGCGCCCACCACGGCGCTGCCTTGCGGGCGGCATGCTCCCTTTTCTCCGCCAGTGCCAGTGTTTGTTGTGTACAGCCACTTGGCGGCTGCTGTTTTCCATCTCCCCTTTGCTGCCCTGACTCTTCACACGACTATATCTCTTGACTCCGCTTTTCCACATGCTCACAGCTGCCAGCCCACCACCAGCCACCATCTACACGGGTCCCCGCTACACGACAGGGCTCTACCCTAGCTTCGAGCCTGGTTACGAAGATTTGATTTGCTTGTTCCCCGATGCTCACAACTCTTCTGTGTAGCACAGGAAGCGGGACCACCGCACAGGAGACTGGACGCTGGTATCAGCAAACATGGAATCAAAGAGGGAGTACAAACAAGGGATTGGACAGAATGGCAGCGCACATAGACAAAAGGCAAGGAGAGATCAGTGTTGGGTGCCACGGTTCAATACAGAGTCGGGACGTCACGTTAGGTAGGGGTGGTTCAATGCGGGGCAGCAGGTCGTCCCAACGGGAGTGCTATGCAAGAACTGCGTTTACACACGAGCGGCTGCTCGCAGCGTGGCACATGCAGCACCTGGTGCTGCCTGGCTGGCATGCGCACCGCCTGTCTCATGCTGCTGCCACCAGCTTGCCGCCGTTGCTGCCGCCGGAGATGGCCAGGCTGCGCAGATCGTCGGCCGACTGGTCGGCGCTGCTGTGCATGGGCAGCAGCGCGGCAGACTTGTACTCAACAATGGAGGAGCCGGGCAGCTGGCCGTTGACGATGCGATTCACTGCGGGGCCGGGCGGGCGGGTGGGCAGGCGGGCACGTAACGAGAAGGGGATGCTTCAGAGGGCGCTTTGCAAGGGCCAGCGCCAGGGCTCAAGAACACAAGCACAGGCACGGATGCAAACACCTCGCTGCCCCAGCAGCTGCAGTCGCCCAGGTCCTTGAGCCACGCCCCACCCCGGCCCCAAGCCACCCACCCGTGGTGAACAGCGGGTAGTCCTTCTCCCAGCCCCGGCGGAACAGGATGGCCTGCACCTCGTCGCTGGTCAGCACCCCCTGCAGCTTCTGCCCGTTGAGCAGCTTGGCCTCCAGCTCTGCAAACGTGGTGGCCGCCCCCGCCAGCTCAGCAGCCACGAACTCTCGCGCCACCAGGCGGTTGCGCCCGCCGTAGCAGGTGGCAATCAGGTCTGCCACGCCGCACGACTCGAAGAAGGTGTCGTCCCTGCAGAGGCACAGCGTGGCATAGCGCAGCACAGCATGGCATGGTGCGGCGCTGTCAGCCAGGCTGGCGACGCAGCTGCTTGCCACCTTTGAGCGTCGCCAGGGTGTCAGCCGCATCATGCAGGCGAGCAACACGAGCTGGCGGCAGCGGCGCGCCTGACGGTGGGGTAGAGCGCCTTGGCAAAGCGCCGCATCTCGTTCAGGCCCTGCCGCATGATGGCCGCCTTGGTGTTGGGCCCTGCACGGCCAGTCACAAGCCACAGACGGCCAGCCCTCAGCCACAGCTCTCGGCCGCTGGCCGCAGCGATGCCGCCACCGCAGCAGGCGCCAGTGCCATGCTGGCGCGACCGCGCGTGCGCCTGCCTGCCTGCTGCACGGGAGCAGCTGCTCAAGGTCGAGCCCTCACTCCCCCCCTAAACCCCCCAACACACCACCCCACACACCAGCACACCACCTCTGCGCCCACCCACCGTAGCCCAGCCCCTCCACAAAGCCCGCCGCCAGCGCCACGATGTTCTTCAGAGTGCCGCACATCTCCGCCCCCACCACGTCTGGCACCAGGGTGATGATGAAGGAGGGGCGCTCAAACAGGTCCTGCGGGTGGCGGCGGGGACGCCCAGGTGGACAGGGTGGAGTGGCAGGCATGCATCAGGGCAGGCGGCAGGGCGAGGCGACAGGCGCAAGCCGCACACGGCCTCCACTGCTCCCAAGCCCTCCCATCCCACCCCACCGCACGCCATCCCACCGCATCGCAACACACACACATCTTGGTAACAACAACCGTGCATCCACCCACCCGCCCACAGTGGCCCTACCTGCAGCAGGAGCGCGTGGTCAAGCACGCTGTAGGCGATGGTGGCCTCGCTCAGCTCCCCCCGCGCAATGTCTGCCGCGATGTTGGCGCCCATCAGCACGCTGCAGTCCAGCCCCAGCTCCTTGCGGATCAGCTCGCTGATCAGCTGCGGGCCGTCGGGGCGCACGCGCATGCCCTGCGGTGGCGTGCCGCCGACATGGTTGGTGGGAGGGCGAAGGAGCGCGGGATGGGCTTGGTTTGAGGCAGCGGGCAGGGCCGCTTGCTGGCAGCGCTTCTCCCTCAGCCCCACCACCGCCGACAACACCGATCCCACGTGATCAACCCCAGACGTGTGCCCAGCCTCCCACCTTAATGAGCGAGATGGCGACGGCATCCTTGCTAACGTGCCCCGCCAGCGTCTTCACCATGCGGTGCTGCAGGGGACACAATGTGGGTGCAGGTGTGCGTGGGTAAGGGACTAAGGGCAAGGGGCCAGGCGAGCCGGCTGTAGGGTGGCCGGCAGCAGCGGCAGCCAGGGCGGCAGCAGCGGGCCTGTGCGCGCAGCCACAGCGCACGCACAATGAACTGGTGGGGAGCGCAGAAGACGAGCACGGTGGCGTCCCTGTGGCGCAGCAGGGCGGGGTACACGAGGCAGTGTGGTGAGGCGAGCATGGGTCGGCTGCCAGGTGGCAGCGTAAAGGCCGGGGAGGACAGCAGGCACGTCGCCGCCCAGTCAGCTGGTTCACACCACGCCATGTCGTGCTGTCTGCATCTCCGGCAGCCCAGCCCTCACTTGACCGTCTCCACCAGGTCTGAGCAGGCCACCACGTTGGCGCCTAGAAAGCAGCCGGGCATGTATTTTATGTTTTCATGCCGCTCGTTGATCAGCTCGGTAAGCTTCCTGCAGGGCGGGGCACGTGGCCGGCGGGGCAGGAGAAGGCGAAGGTAGGAGTGCAGGGGAGCAGGTGGGCAGGGAAAGGGGGGCAGGGGCCATGCACTGCTGACAAAGCAACACGCCCAGAGCTGCGGCGATGCCCACAGTCGAGGGCCACCAGGGAGCAGGTGGCAGCTTGGCCACGCTCAGAGGCCCCTCAGCAGCCACTCCAGCGTGCGGCCCAGCCAAGCCAGGCGGCACCACGCAGCGGCAGCCAGCCAGCGGCACCCACCTGCCCTCCACCTCCTCTTCGTACGTGTACATCCGCACCTCCGGCACATACTTGTCCACATTGTCGGGGTTGGCCGTGTTCTCGGCAATCAGCTTGACAGCGGCGCATGCCCAGGCGCCTGCAGCATGGAGTAGGACGGGCAGGGTGGACAGCTGGCCACCAGGCTGCTAAACGAAAACCTGGCCACCTCGGTTTTCCAGCCAGCAAGCCAGCCACTCACCCACCATCTAACACCCAGCCCTTCATGCAGCCAACCCGGCCCACCCACCAGAGCCAATCATGGCCACGCGGTGGCGTGGCAGCGACTCCTGCAGCACATCAAAGTCGGTGACGAACCAGTCCGCTGCTTGCATCACCACCTCGCGCGCCACCACGCCTGCATGGCGAACGGCAGACAGGCAGGCATGTCATATGATCAAGGAGTGCCGCAGAAGTGCCCAGGTGTGTCGGACTCCCCAGGAAAGGTAAAGATGCTCCTGCCTTTTTCCACTGCGTGACAAGTGGAGCAGCAGGGCATGCAACACATCAGTATCCTCAAGCCAAACCCTCACCGCCAAAGCCCACAAACATGTCTGCGCCGCCCGTCTCCTGCACCGCCTCCAGGTCTGTGATGCCGTCCCCCACCATCACCACCTACACACACGCGGGGCAGGCAGACAGGCACAGTAGAGCCTGGGCTATGCAATGGTGGCAAGCATGCAGCAGGCAGAACCCAACCCTGCCATTCCGCCACCCAGATTGCAGTGCAGCGCAGCACAGCACAGGGGCTCACAGTCTCGTAAGGGAACAGCTCTCGCAGGCGGGCGATGGCGAGCGGCTTGCCGCCCTGGTGCCCCGTGGGCTCCCGCAAATCAAACCCGACCAGCTTCGTCGGCATGCCTGCAGGCATGGCAGAGACGTAGCAGGATGGAATGAGCTTGGCAGCATGCTTGAAGTGAAGAGGTAACATAAACGATGAGCGAAAGTCGGCAACACCGTACGACTGGTGCCCCCCCCCCCCCCCCCCCAAAAAAAAA